ACAACATTTAAGGGATTTGGGAATTTGCTCGATTGCTCTCTCTGTGGTTTATTTTATCTGTACTTTTTATTAGGCCTTTTTAATCTTTTTGTAATTATATTATGTTTCTTATACCGTACTGCATTTTAATGTTTATCATATTTTTTTTAATTATGTATATAGAATTGCGATATTGTATTTTTGTTGTCATGAAGAGAGCCCCTCGACAGTAGATCTTCTACTTTTGGGCAATCCTGCCACATGACAACAATTACTATTTTTGAAATTTTATATTTGTATATTTTATATATTTATATCTATTTGGCGAAATAAATGAAATGAATGAAAAAATGAAATGAATAATTTATTAATTCACAAATATTTCAAACACTCCTGTGTTCTTCCTCAGTGTGAGGACAACTGACAAAAAATACAAAGTAAAGCAACATCATAGAGATACAATAAGAATATATATATGAGCAACATTCACACACGAAACGAAAACAGAACATCGAATCAGCGGTAAACAACAAAGGCGCGTAATAAGATGCGCACCCTAAACGTTCTACTTATTCCATATTAAGTAGAACGTTTAGGATGCGCATCTTATTACGCGCCTTTGTTCTTTACCGCTGATTCGATTTTCTGTTTTCTTTCGTGTGTGAATGTTGCTTTACTTTGTATTTTTTGTCAGTTGTCCCAAAGAGTATAAATAGAACAAGAGAGCAAAGTCCCGTTCGTAAAAACGTCATGCCTGTGTAGGACACCCACTAACGGTTGTATATTAGGCCTAGGGCTGTCTCTTATACACATCTAGATGTGGATAAGAGACAGAAGTACGCCCGCTATAAACTCAGTAAGCAGAAAACAAAAGTACAGTATCTTGTGGAGAACAGATAAACAGACAAACCTACCGTGCGCGGTGGAGTACTGGGTAATAAACATAGAGATATAATAAGAATACTAGAGCGCTAACAGCAATGTATTCGATGTTCGAAATACGCAGAGCTGTTGTCACCAAAAAGCGTGCGCGCGTCACCAAACAGCGTGCGCGCGTATAGCTTTATAACATTTTGGCTACGTTCAGACCTGTGAGATACGCCAGGCGTATCTAACGCCGGGCGTACGTTAATCCATGGCGTAACTAGCGAGATGTCCAGACTGGGCGATTAATGAACGCTAGCGTAAGTATTCGCGCGAAATATTCGTATTCGTAATTCACGCATTTTATTTTCTGTTTACATCTAGGTTTATTTTGATTGGTCAAATCTTGGCTGAGCTAAAAATCACCGATGCGTGACTGTCGTAAATCAGTGGCGTACGCTAATCTGGGGTCTGTTGCTGGATTACCGTACGCCAGTGATTGCGCGATAATACTGGCGTTCGCTACGCCGCGCACAAGTTCACACCACTCGATTAACGTTACGCTAGCGTAAGTCGTTGTGTCTGAACATAGCCTAAATAAAACACTGATGCTGCATAAACTTTCTTTCATTATTCTGTTCATTATGGGATTTTAACATATCATTGTATAAATATAATATACTATATATATATATACATATTTACCTAACTTTGGAATTAATTAATCAGTGATGTGCTGTATTATTTCGAGAAGATAAAGTGAGGACGATTCTTTATTTTTTTTCGTTACGATTATCTTTTTGTTTTAAAAGTCTATCATCTACTAGGCCTATACCTAGTTGCTAGCAGCCTACTCTATATAGAATGAGGCTCCTAAGAAGAGTCAACACTGCAGAGGAGAAAGGTTGGTTGTGCAGACAGAGTAGGTTTGTGAATCGTCGGCGATAATATTAATTTCGCCTGTTAATGAATGATAAAAATATTAATAACATGAAAGTTTTCTAATTGTATCTAGGCCTCTAGGCCTATGACTTCGTAAACTTTAATTTATGAAATAAAATATGCTGGTCATCTTCAAACCAACAAATAGCCGAGGCCTATTTATTTGTAAATTGTAATCTAAACAATAAATCAAAGTTGAAGAATTATTGCATTGAGAGAAATTTTTGTACAACATATGCCTAATCATTCATATCAAGAAGCTAGGCCTTGTAAGTAAATTAGCAGCATTCTCCACACTTCTGTTTATAATATTAGTGAGTTATAATATTATCATTATTTTATTACTGCATTATTATTATTATTTATTTATTATTCATTATTTACTATTCATTGAAATTTTGATTTGTAATTTGTAAAACATTTAAACGTTTTGATTTAAAATACGTATTAAAACAATCAATATATTATAATACAATTAGGCCTAGGGGGCCTATATCTTTAAAATATATTTTTATCTTTAAAATCTTTAGTTGCACGATTAATTGATTTGTAAAGCACAATTGGGCATGTTTGCATAGCACAGGACTCCTTGGACAAG